AGAATAGAACACGTAGGGACGAAGATAGCGCAGTTCTTTGTTGACATGGGATGTAAGCTCAAGCACATCATTCTGTCGGATCAAATGGTTTTGTTGAACTAGGTTTAGCTCGCAAGTCAGCCAGCTGGTCCTTCGGCGGGCTTTCAGCTTTCTGCGATGCGTGTTTTAATCGTGAGCGCAGGCTCAAACAATGTAGGCAGCGGCGCCAAATAGATTTGAAACGAAGAAACAGCTCGGACGCGTGGAACGAAGAGATCACATCACAGGAAAACGCAAACCACTCACCTTTCGTTCGACGACGGCTCGCAAGGTACGATGTTTCTCCGGGCGTTGAACACAGGACTAAGGAGACCGCGTCTATTTCGATAATCATCTCATAAAGTGCGCGCCGAAGTTCTCTTTAGTCGCCGGCGTAAAGTGTTGCAAAGCACGCCATTTTTGTTATTTTTTTGTCAAAATAACAACAAATTTAAACCATTTTGACCTCACGGGCGTCAAAATAACAAAGAATCCCGAAATAACGTTAGTATGACGTCCGTGACGTCACTGGCCACGCCCCCTGTTTTTCAAATCGGTGCCGAAAATACGCAGCCGTTTTAATATGGCAGCCTCCGCTTTGCGCCGCGTTCCCTTTCCCTCCTTCCTTCCCCCCCCCCCCCCCCCCCCCCCCCCTGCAAGAAACAGTCCGCCGGCAACTCCAGCCTCAAACGTAAGTGGCTCGAGCACCGTTCAAAAACTTGTCAAACTTGACAGAGTCAGCTGTTGCTTGATGTAGTGCCCATCGCTCGAAAACTTTACGAAAGAACGTCCCAAAGCCGAGAAAAAATTTATCTTTCGGCTAGGGGACCAAGGGTTCCGCCATTTGAAATCCGGAGCAGATAAAGTCTCCAAATAACTCGTCGCTGGTAGATTGGGAGGTGCTATGCAAGAAACAAACACAGGTTTGTCAAGAAAACGTACGACAGAGGAGCGCTGAGCAATATCGAACCCGAAAATTACTGCTTTCCTGTGGGAAGTCGCATCAGTGCTCGTACAGTAAACTATCGACTCGATCCGAGGCAAACTACAGTCGTCGGGTCTTCTACGGAACGCGTGCTCACGTTTGACACCAACATCGCGTCTCGGAAACGAAAATTCAGCCTCGGAGGTCCGAACACAGGTTCGGAAAGTAGAATTGGCCGCCATGACCATGCCCACGGTAAAAGCGTCGTAGCATCGCGAAAACTTTTATTACACACGTTCAAAGTGGTGTCCGTAGAGTCTAGGAAGACCAAGGAACACATCGGTGCTAGCGGTGATGAGATACGACCAGTATTAATGAAGGGAGATCGAAGAAAGGATCGGTGCCTAAAGTGAGGAAAGCGAATGGCTGGCTTCGATATGAAAACTTTCAAACGTCGTTTATTTCGCGAAACTCGCATCGTACAAGAAAAGAAATCGGTCTCTGTCCAGTCCGGGGGCGGCTGGGAACAAGTGTCCCCCATTTGATATCGTAAATTCAAGGTCGTAATATAGATTTCAGAATTTAAATATTTTCAATGGTAAAACAAAAGGGCCAGGTGGCGCAATGTACCGACCGGTCGAAATTGCTCAGCCGCACTCATGGATCCATTCATTCGAAACGGGTCATCTATCTATTCATTCATAAAAAATGTAATTCCTGGCCGTGTTTTAAAATTAACGAAATCATACTGCGAGGTAAAGCTTCTGTACACCTGGCGTTTTGAAACCTGCCTGCGTCCAGCGTTCTTTCATTTCTGCTGTCACGTGACACGATCCGCCCGAGTAACTCGGGTTTGTTAGGGTGAGATTTGAAACACAGCCCTGGTTTAATAAAACCAAACTTAGAATTACGGGAATCGTCTTATTTTTCAAAACGATGTCGTCGAGACCCGTGTTCCACAACAAGTTTAAATTATTTAGGTCAAGTATTTAGAAAGTTCGTGGTTTTTGTTCGGTTTTTGCAAAAAAGCAAATGGCTGCCGCGTGTTTTGCTCGCAACCGGGGGTGATTCAATCGCACGAAGCTCGGAAAGTAGGCTAGCTAGGACATTTATTTTAACCAGGGAGTGGGATTATGTTCCGAGGAACATTCGAGGCGCGTCTCATCGATGTAGCTAATCTAAAAACAAAGTTATCAACAGAAGTTTACGTGTAAGTAAGGCTTCACTGTACGATGTTTTGATTTCACATACGCTCGTATAAAGAAAACTACAATAGCTAGAAGGTTCTAATTCGCAGCGAATGATCGCGCTCTGAATTTAGACGCACTGTTAAAATTTCATCGCTCCAGCTAGTCTAGAACTCGATATATTCGCGAAAACAGGTTTTGGGACTCTGCTCGGAAATTAACAAGCCCGACCAAGTTCAATCGTTCGCCTGTGGATATTCAAGACCGCTGGAGTGCATTCATCGATTGTGGTCGTGAAAACAACATCATAGGAACATGTGTGTGCAGTGAAACCGTGTCAGCTCATCTCAATCGAGACTCATCGATCAACAGGGAGGGTGTCCCGAGCACAAGTGGATGGATATACTTCAAAGAGCTGCCGCTCGCTCGGAATTAGAAAACCATTAAGCTATCCAATTGTCGGGAAAGGGTGTCGCACCAGGTAGGAGTGTTTGTGTGTCAAATTTCTTCGAGATAGCAAACGCAAAAGTTGTTTTATCGACCTAATAAAACCGCTCGGAGAACTCGGCTCATTTCTGGTGTTTTTTCTGTTTTTTTTTGTTGTTTTTTTTAGTGAAAAAAGATGACTCTTCAGATTACCATTTCTTTTAGGTAATTGAGAAGTTGCATTAAAGAAACGGCCTGCACAGTAAATACAAATGGTTCTATTGCGATTATTTCATAATTGAACCAGAAAAGCACATTAATTTTGGCATGTTGGCCTAATAAGAGAGTCGGCTGTTTTTTATGTACTGCTCATGTCTAGGAAACTAAGAGTGCTAGAGCGACGATTCATTTTTGATACGAGTGCTTGCTTTCCTCCTGTAATGAACGAGCCCAGGTTGGTTAACACAGCTGGTGTCAAAGTTTATGTACGAACGCAAAAGCTGAAGGTAGTCCTGATTTTTCGAGCCTTTGAACAGGGGCGTGGGGTTTTGTAGTGTCTGAGAATAAAGAGGCACTGCAGACAAGAAGACTGTGTCCTCGGTGTTGCTTGCCCACCCCCGTAAGATGTGGAGACACACTTCATTGAAAACCTACGTGATTTACTAAGACAGGGGTTTCTGCAGAACCCCGTAGGGGGCTGTGCAGAGAATACAGGTCGACATCAAGCCTTCAGAATTCACAGGTACCATTCGACAAGAATGCTGTAGCTGGACTTGAAACAAGCTGACGTGGGAAAGTACGGAAGCCGAGAAAACAAATGTGTCGGCCAAGCCGTAGCAAGGACGTCCCAGCACGACTGCGGACAGCGTTATCCTGGCTGTGCAAAGTGGACGTCCCTCGGAGACAAAAGGCAGACTTTTGGTATTCCGCAGTAACCACGCCTGCGTTCAAATTTTGGCCGTCGAGGGAAAAGGGACGTAGCTTGAGGGTTCAAAGTGAACAGGTAGCAAGCTAGTAGGTTACTCGTGCTTCAGTTTAGCTCATCTTGCGCCAGAAAGTGCAAAAGGGGACAAAATAGAAAGTGTCGGGCCAGTTGTACTGTAGGGGCATGTCTACAAAAAGCTCTGTAGGGTTGTGTGGAGGCCCTCTTGCAGCACATATGTGTATTTGTCCTCACCGTCTCTGGAAAAGACGACTGGCGGGTGCTAAAGAAGGAAACAAAAACAGTTTTCTCGATAAAACGTAATGCGGAGGATCGGTGAGCCAGATGAGAACCTCAAAAGAAACACATGGATTGCTATGGCAGGTAGCAGCTCGTACAGTGAAACATCGACTACATCAAACTTAAAAGTATATTTGTCGGGTGTTCTACGCGAGGAGAGCTCACGTTTGACACCAAGATCGCCTTTCTCGAACAAAAAACAGGCCCGAAAATAGGTCCCGAAACAAATGCATTCATGAGGCACATAGCATGACCTGCTCGTACAATACAATATGGACTAGATCAGACTTTAACTGTACTCGCCGCGTCTTCTACGCAACGAGAGCTCACGTTTGACACCAACAAGGTGTCTCTGGAGCAAAAATTAGGCCCGTGAGGGACGGATGTAGATCGGATATCCAAAATGGCGGCCATTGGCCATGTCGGCGGTAAAAGTGCCGTAACGTCGCGAAACTTGGATCGCACACGTTAAAAGTGGTGTGTATGGAGTGGCGAAAGACCAAGGAACACAGCGGTACCAGCGGTACAGATCTAGGTCCGGTATTCAGGACGGGAGATCGGAGAAAGCCTCGGCGAGTCAAGGAAGAAGCACAGGGCTGGCTTCGATGCGAAAGCACTTCAAACGTCGATGATGTCGCGAAATCATAGAAGATGAAATCGGTCTCTTTCGAGTCCGGGGGCCACAGAGAACGAGTGGAGATCGTAATCGGTACTCGAAAGATAAAATTGTTATAACGTTTGGAGTATACACTGTGCATTGGGACAGACGGGGGCTACAAATTGGAAGATTTACACAAGTACCGAGACCGAGCTCAATCAACTTTACACCGTTGGCTAGGGAATGAAAAGCGCAATTTTGTGCAAAATATTTGCAAGGTCATTGACTCGAAGGCTCGAGAGCCGAAATACGCATAATCTGCGTAGTTTCACACCAGCTGTATCGATGGAATTCGCACCGATTTTAATGTATTCGAATGTCTGAACAAACCTTTTCCCGAGGTGGACAGCAGGGACCTGAAAACCCAAATAAAAAAGAAGTGGCTCATTTAACGAGTCTTTCTTTTTCACTGCGCCAGAAAAACAAGAATCAGCTCATTTCTTTTTGAGACCTCATACTTTATTAGGCCAAGAATACAAGTTTTCAGACGAGCTGTCTCAATGTAAAAACACACTTCCTTATTAGTACCCTGCCATGAAATTCTCACAGTTCGTATAGTGTTCTTTTTAAGCTAGGAGCTGGCTAACACGATTTCACACACATGTTACTCGCAGAGAGTTGTCACAATCGGTGTTTCCATTGAAGCGGTCATCCGCAGCTGAAGAAGACTCGGGTCAGGAGGCCATTGGTTTCTTGAAACGGAGGGCCAGCCGTACAACTCGCTCGTGCTGCACAAAAGACAAGACAATCTTTAGCGCCCTACATTTAAAAAGATATGCGAAACGATCTCACGCATAATATTTCTTTTTTTTTTTTTTTTTTCTCGGTGCGTTACAGAGAGTCAAACGGGCGAGGTCGTAGAGGCCGTCCTCGCGCTCGGAGCGCGATTCCATGTTGCGTGTTCGCGTAAAAAAAACGATAAAAAACAAAACTATTCGTTCGAAAAAAAAAAAAAAAAAACATTTTCTACCATGCGTCTAGTACACACACTGGCACGCTATATTAAGAGTGTCCATCTGCGTTTATTCATACCCTTTTTCAACTTACAAAACGGCCAGCCGCTGAGAGACTTTTGCCTTTCAAGTAAGATCGAAATAAAAGGAGAATAATACCAGCGGTGGCCCTCTCGTAATCCTGGACGTGGCCCGAACGCACTGCGAAAGCCGCTCACTTAGATTAATGAAGCCCCGATAAATGAATCCAGCGAAAACAACGCTCGGATGTTTAGGCCAGGCTCGTAGAATTGTGGAATGCCTTTTTCCCCCTATTATAGTTTGATCGCACACCTCAATTTCAAAATGAACCTTGTCATCTCCTTTCCCGAGGCAGTATTCCATCATTTCGCGGCGGACGCGCTTTAGAGCTCAATTATAGAGTATACACTTTATAGTGAAAGCTTTCTTTGCCGAGCATAGAACTATCAAGAAGCAGTTGGATGAAATATCGGTATTCGAGGCGGGTCTTGCTCGCGCTCTGGTGAGCCTTCAAACGACCAGCCGCTCCGCCGAGCGCGCGCCGCACCAGATGAATGAATTAAATTAATCTCGCGCGCATAGCGAACGTTCCTTTTAACCGAGGGAGCGCTTCAGAACAAAAAAGCAAAGTGTGGTAGCAAATGATGAAGCGGTGAGCAATATCGAACCTGAAAATGACTGCCTTCCTGTGGGAAGTCGCATCAGTGCTCGTACAGTAAGCTATCGACTCGATCAGAGGTAAACTACAGTCGTCGGGTCTTCTACGGAACGCGTGCTCACGTTTGACACCAACATCGCGTCTCGGAAACGAAAATTCAGCCTCGGAGGTCCGAACACAGGTTCGGAAAGTAGAATTGGCCGCCATGACCATGCCCACGGTAAAAGCGTCGTAGCTTCGCGAAAACGTTTATTACACACGTTCAAAGTGGTGTCCGTAGAGTCTAGAAAGACCAAGGAACACATCGGTGCTAGCGGTGATGAGATACGACCAGTATTAATGAAGGGAGATCAACGAGAATGCTTCCCTTAATAAATAGTGCAAAAATAAAGAAAAAATGAGTGCCATCTGGCGGAGGGCAGACACACTAGCCGAGGCGAGTGGTGTGTCTGCCCTCCACCAGGCGGCGCGATCCCCTTTGCCGACGTTTTTGTGACCAGGTGGCGTAAGCTACCGCCCGATCCAAAGGGCTCAGCCGTATTCATTTATCCATCCATCCACCGTTACCAAGGTGCGCGCGCACACGCTTCTTAGTAACCCGTGGCAACCGTTACTTTTTTTCCTTCTCTTTGTTTGTCCGTCCTCCCCCCCCCCCGGTTTCTTTCTTTCGCCCGCTAATTGCTCGTGTGTTCTTTTGTCTTTCTCTTTCCTTCTTTCTTTCTCGTCCTCGCTCATCCTCCGCCGCTTTTCTTTGTTCCGAGAGGCGGGCCCCAGTGCGGTTTCGGTTGTGCTTCGGAGCAGTCGCGTAGTCACCCGTGTCCAGCGCCTGCTTTGTGCGGCGTCTTTGTTCCGAAATCGGTCTTCTTCTTCTTCGGACCCCTAACGTCGCCTCACGGTTCCTGCCTTCGTCAAAGGGCCTCCTTTCGTTCGACACATTGGGGTAAGTGTGCGTCCATTTTACCATCCTTTAATTCGAGTTTTTGCTTCCGATTATTTGCCAAACGAAAGTGGTTTGGGTTTTTCAGCAAAAAAAGAATAATAATTCCGTTTGAAATCAAATGCTTTGTACACCTGTTGGAGAATTTCATTAGCTTTCGGAAAATATACACTTCGATATGCGTAAAAGTATTTTTCGTTGCGTTAGAGAGTGAAACAGGGGAAGCTGTAGAGTTCGGCGCGCGCTCGAGCCGCGATTCGATCGTCTAAGATCAGGCAAAAATTAAAAATAAAGAACTACTCGCTTCAGAAGAGTCTCTTTTTCTGTGCTATTAGCGCACACGTTTTTTAGCGGCACACGAAATTAAGAATTTGTATCTACGTTTATTATTAGCTTTTTTAAACTTAAATCGACCAGCCACCCAGAGCGCCCGAAACCTATTTCCTTGTCTTCTGTGTACTCGAAGTACGTTGAACTCCGAAAGCAGACGATGCACGGAGCAAGAACACTTGCAGACAAAGATACTTCATTTCTGGAGCAGCATTGGGGAGGTATTATTTATTCCCGTTTATAGTCTGACACTTTGAGCACTCTGAAACTTACCCCAAAACCCAAACAACTTTATTTTGGGAAATACATATTCCAGGGAACCGAAAACTCGAATAAAAGAGCGTTTTTTTCGTTCATTCCGCGTCCAGAGGATCCGTGAACGCATTCTCAGAATAAGGGACAGAAACGTGGCTTTCGCTCAAAACATCGGTTATTATTTCCTCGTCTTCTGTGTACTCGAAGTACGTTAAACTCCGAAAGAAGACGATGGTCGGAGCAAGAACCGTTGCAGACAAAGATACTTCGTTTCTGCAGCAGCATCGGGGAGGTATTATTTATTCGCATTTACAGTCTGACACTTTGAGCACTGTGAAACTTACCTCAAAAACCCAAACAACTTTATTTGGGCAAATATTATCCCGGAGAAGCGAAAACTCGAATAAAAGCGCGTTTTTTTCGTTCATTCCGCGTCCAGTGGATCCGTGGCGCCATCTCAGAATAAGGGACAGAAACGAGGCTTCCGCTCAAAACATCGCTTATTATTTCCTCGTCTTCTGTGAACTCGAAGTACGTTAAACTCCGAAAGAAGACGATGGTCGGAGCAAGAACCGTTGCAGGCAAAGATACTTCGTTTCTGAAGCAGCATCGGGGAGGTATTATTTATTCGCGTTTATAGTCTGACAGTTTGAGCACTCTGAAACTTACCTCAAAAACCCAAACAACTTTATTTGGGCAAATATTATCCCGGAGAAGCGAAAACTCGAATAAAAGCGCGTTTTTTTCGTTCATTCCGCGTCCAGGGGACCCGTGAACGCCGTCTCAGAATAAGGGACAGAAACGAGGCTTCCGCTCAAAACATCGCTTATTATTTCCTCGTCTTCTGTGTACTCGAAGTACGTTAAACTCCGAAAGAAGACGATGGTCGGAGCAAGAACCGTTGCAGACAAAGATACTTCGTTTCTGCAGCAGCATCGGGGAGGTATTATTTATTCGCATTTACAGTCTGACACTTTGAGCACTCTGAAACTTACCTCAAAACCCAAACAACTTTATTTGGGCAAATATTATCCCGGAGAAGCGAAAACTCGAATAAAAGCGCGTTTTTTTCGTTCATTCCGCGTCCAGGGGACCCGTGAACGCCGTCTCAGAATAAGGGACAGAAACGAGGCTTCCGCTCAAAACATCGCTTATTATTTCCTCGTCTTCTGTGTACTCGAAGTACGTTAAACTCCGAAAGAAGACGATGGTCGGAGCAAGAACCGTTGCAGGCAAAGATACTTCGTTTCTGCAGCAGCATCGGGGAGGTATTATTTATTCGCATTTACAGTCTGACACTTTGAGCACTGTGAAACTTACCTCAAAACCCAAACAACTTTATTTGGGCAAATATTATCCCGGAGAAGCGAAAACTCGAATAAAAGCGCGTTTTTTTCGTTCATTCCGCGTCCAGGGGACCCGTGAACGCCGTCTCAGAATAAGGGACAGAAACGAGGCTTCCGCTCAAAACATCGCTTATTATTTCCTCGTCTTCTGTGTACTCGAAGTACGTTAAACTCCGAAAGAAGACGATGGTCGGAGCAAGAACCGTTGCAGGCAAAGATACTTCGTTTCTGCAGCAGCATCGGGGAGGTATTATTTATTCGCATTTACAGTCTGACACTTTGAGCACTGTGAAACTTACCTCAAAACCCAAACAACTTTATTTGGGCAAATATTATCCCGGAGAAGCGAAAACTCGAATAAAAGCGCGTTTTTTTCGTTCATTCCGCGTCCAGGGGACCCGTGAACGCCGTCTCAGAATAAGGGACAGAAACGAGGCTTCCGCTCAAAACATCGCTTATTATTTCCTCGTCTTCTGTGTACTCGAAGTACGTTAAACTCCGAAAGAAGACGATGGTCGGAGCAAGAACCGTTGCAGGCAAAGATACTTCGTTTCTGCAGCAGCATCGGGGAGGTATTATTTATTCGCATTTACAGTCTGACACTTTGAGCACTGTGAAACTTACCTCAAAACCCAAACAACTTTATTTGGGCAAATATTATCCCGGAGAAGCGAAAACTCGAATAAAAGCGCGTTTTTTTCGTTCATTCCGCGTCCAGGGGACCCGTGAACGCCGTCTCAGAATAAGGGACAGAAACGAGGCTTCCGCTCAAAACATCGCTTATTATTTCCTCGTCTTCTGTGTACTCGAAGTACGTTAAACTCCGAAAGAAGACGATGGTCGGAGCAAGAACCGTTGCAGACAAAGATACTTCGTTTCTGCAGCAGCATCGGGGAGGTATTATTTATTCGCATTTACAGTCTGACACTTTGAGCACTCTGAAACTTACCTCAAAACCCAAACAACTTTATTTGGGCAAATATTATCCCGGAGAAGCGAAAACTCGAATAAAAGCGCGTTTTTTTCGTTCATTCCGCGTCCAGGGGACCCGTGAACGCCGTCTCAGAATAAGGGACAGAAACGAGGCTTCCGCTCAAAACATCGCTTATTATTTCCTCGTCTTCTGTGTACTCGAAGTACGTTAAACTCCGAAAGAAGACGATGGTCGGAGCAAGAACCGTTGCAGGCAAAGATACTACGTTTCTGCAGCAGCATCGGGGAGGTATTATTTATTCGCATTTACAGTCTGACACTTTGAGCACTCTGACACTTACCTCAAAACCCAAACAACTTTATTTGGGCAAATATTATCCCGGAGAAGCGAAAACTCGAATAAAAGCGCGTTTTTTTCGTTCATTCCGCGTCCAGGGGACCCGTGAACGCCGTCTCAGAATAAGGGACAGAAACGAGGCTTCCGCTCAAAACATCGCTTATTATTTCCTCGTCTTCTGTGTACTCGAAGTACGTTAAACTCCGAAAGAAGACGATGGTCGGAGCAAGAACCGTTGCAGACAAAGATACTTCGTTTCTGCAGCAGCATCGGGGAGGTATTATTTATTCGCATTTACAGTCTGACACTTTGAGCACTCTGAAACTTACCTCAAAACCCAAACAACTTTATTTGGGCAAATATTATCCCGGAGAAGCGAAAACTCGAATAAAAGCGCGTTTTTTTCGTTCATTCCGCGTCCAGGGGACCCGTGAACGCCGTCTCAGAATAAGGGACAGAAACGAGGCTTCCGCTCAAAACATCGCTTATTATTTCCTCGTCTTCTGTGTACTCGAAGTACGTTAAACTCCGAAAGAAGACGATGGTCGGAGCAAGAACCGTTGCAGGCAAAGATACTACGTTTCTGCAGCAGCATCGGGGAGGTATTATTTATTCGCATTTACAGTCTGACACTTTGAGCACTCTGAAACTTACCTCAAAACCCAAACAACTTTATTTGGGCAAATATTATCCCGGAGAAGCGAAAACTCGAATAAAAGCGCGTTTTTTTCGTTCATTCCGCGTCCAGGGGACCCGTGAACGCCGTCTCAGAATAAGGGACAGAAACGAGGCTTCCGCTCAAAACATCGCTTATTATTTCCTCGTCTTCTGTGTACTCGAAGTACGTTAAACTCCGAAAGAAGACGATGGTCGGAGCAAGAACCGTTGCAGGCAAAGATACTTCGTTTCTGCAGCAGCATCGGGGAGGTATTATTTATTCGCATTTACAGTCTGACACTTTGAGCACTCTGAAACTTACCTCAAAACCCAAACAACTTTATTTGGGCAAATATTATCCCGGAGAAGCGAAAACTCGAATAAAAGCGCGTTTTTTTCGTTCATTCCGCGTCCAGGGGACCCGTGAACGCCGTCTCAGAATAAGGGACAGAAACGAGGCTTCCGCTCAAAACATCGCTTATTATTTCCTCGTCTTCTGTGTACTCGAAGTACGTTAAACTCCGAAAGAAGACGATGGTCGGAGCAAGAACCGTTGCAGGCAAAGATACTACGTTTCTGCAGCAGCATCGGGGAGGTATTATTTATTCGCATTTACAGTCTGACACTTTGAGCACTCTGAAACTTACCTCAAAACCCAAACAACTTTATTTGGGCAAATATTATCCCGGAGAAGCGAAAACTCGAATAAAAGCGCGTTTTTTTCGTTCATTCCGCGTCCAGGGGACCCGTGAACGCCGTCTCAGAATAAGGGACAGAAACGAGGCTTCCGCTCAAAACATCGCTTATTATTTCCTCGTCTTCTGTGTACTCGAAGTACGTTAAACTCCGAAAGAAGACGATGGTCGGAGCAAGAACCGTTGCAGGCAAAGATACTTCGTTTCTGCAGCAGCATCGGGGAGGTATTATTTATTCGCATTTACAGTCTGACACTTTGAGCACTCTGAAACTTACCTCAAAACCCAAACAACTTTATTTGGGCAAATATTATCCCGGAGAAGCGAAAACTCGAATAAAAGCGCGTTTTTTTCGTTCATTCCGCGTCCAGGGGACCCGTGAACGCCGTCTCAGAATAAGGGACAGAAACGAGGCTTCCGCTCAAAACATCGCTTATTATTTCCTCGTCT